AGGGGCTCCCGCGTGGTCCTTCCCTGCGGTCTTGCTGTCCAGTGCCCCCCTGCTTGTGCCCCAGCTGCCTGTGGGGCCTGCGGCCTGGAGCTCAGGGCTTGCGGGCGTGGTTCTGGCATCGTGCTGCACCCACGGTCCAGGTGGGTGGCCACGTGCCAGGGTGGCGGGCCGTCCCTGAGCCCTCAGGGCGCCCTCACCGTGGTGGGCGTGTCCTGGCCCCCGCTGAGCCATGGGCAGCACAGAGGCTCTGGGGGAGGGGCTCTGGGCAGCACAGGGCGGCCTGCAGCCCCCAGCTCTGCACAAAGCCATCAAAAAGGCGTCGCCCGGCCCCCTGCTCTGCCTGGTGGTGCCGCCTGCCGGGGCTCGCTGTGAGTGCCAGCAGCCCCTCGGATACCCTGGTGGCTTCCCATGTGCCTGGGGCTTCTCCCACAACTACCAAGCAGCCCAGGCAGGGCAGAGGGGCTGGGAGTGGGGCTCACTCACACCCAGGCTGCAAGCAGGGGGGTGGCCCCTGTGAGCACCTGAGGGTGGGGTCCACGCAATGGCCATGGAAGGACAGCAGTCCCACTGCCCCTTAAGGGCTGAGGCCACCAGGGTCAGCCAGGGGACTTCCTGGAGGAGGAGACCCCGTCCTGCTTCCCCCCAGCTGCGTCCTGTCCTGTGGCCCAGGCCTCTCTGAGGCTGTGCTGTGGACCCTGCAGACTAGGGGTACTGCTCAGGGCTCTGGACCCCTGCACGCAAGGGTGGTTCTGGCCTCCCCCTCCCCAGCAGCGGCTGCCGCCCTGGGGGTCCGAGCACCTGCTCCCCCACCCCAGGCCTGTCACTCCAGCTGCCGCGGCCTCTCCCTCTCTTCTTTGTGCAACGCCTCCTGCCTCAGCTGCACACCAGGTGAGGGCCCGTCCAGTCCTGCCCGACCCCCATGCCCTTGGGCGCGCTGGCCTGCCGTGCCATGCTCCAACCCTGCTCCGTGTCCATCCGTGGCCTGGGCAGCCACCTCCCCCCTCTCCTGATGCCCGTCACCCCCAGCCTGCTCGGCGCCTCCTGGTGCCTCCTGCACCGGGTACTGGGGTGCAGCACTGGTCAATTTTTTCCTCAAAATTCACCAAACTCGGTATCCACTAGTGATGAGTCTGAATGACTCCCCAGCAGGACAAACATTAGACAAGCGCACGGCAACGCAGCCAGCTAGCATCACACAGGAAGCGGCAGGAGCACCCTGCCGAGCGGGGGCAATGGGCGGCATCTCGAACGGGGGGACACTCCCACGGAATTCCAACTCAGACACAGAAAGCCCACGCTCAACCGCCACGCCACTTGGCAGAACCTGCCACGGGACCACGGCGGCCACGACAGGGAGGACCGCACGGCACTGCAGGTGCACGGTGCTCCTGCCAGGGCGTCGCATCCCTTCAGTGTCAATCGGCCATTTACAGCACACGTCCTAACACGCATCAAGTCACATGCATGGCGAGGGCAGCACGGCGGCCGGGAGGGGAACACGCGTGAGCACTGTGCACGGCTCTGACACGGCACTTGGCCTTTGGAGATGAAATTTCAGTTAAAATTGCAAATCTCAGTTGAAGACGATGCTAGGTTTAAAATGCGCTCACACCTAGAGCAATCAATAAAAAAGGGATCAGGTGCTCAGACAACGGTGAGACTGGGTTTCTAAGAGCCCGACACGGGCCAGCGTGTGGTGCAGTGGGTTAAGCTGCCGCTGGCCGGCTGCAAAGCCGCATCCCAGGTCGGAGTCCCGGCTTCAGATCCAGCTCCCTGCTAATGTGCCTGGGAAACCAGCAGCTCATGGCTCAAGTCCCTGGGTCCCCGTCACCCTAGTGGGAGACCCGGATGGCGTTGCCAGCCCCCGGCTTCAGCCTGGTCCAGCCTCGGCCACTGTGGTGACTTGGGAGTGAAGCAGTGGAGGCAGTGGGCGCCCACTCAGCCTCCCCACTCCTCACAGGGCCGCCCGGCTCTGCCGCAGCCCCTCAGCCAAGGGCTCCTCAGAAACCAGGGCCTCGGAGAACACAGGCTGTCTGAGTTCTGTCCTCCTGTGTGGCTTCCGCCCCGCGTGCCCCCCGTCCACACACAGAGGGGACGTCTGGATGCCAGCATCCCACTCCCGACCACGAGCCTCCTGAAGCCAGCCCAGCAACAGGGCTGCAGCTGCGTGGACAGACCCCACAGTCCTGCAGCGGTGGCCATGCCCCAGCTCGGACCAGTCCTGGGAAAGGCCACGAGAAGCACGGTGCAGAGCGCCCAGTGGCCAGCAGGCGGATGTGGCTCAGCGGCTGAGACCACCTCCGAGCCTGGTGCCCGGGGGACAGACATGGCCACTCGTGGGGCCCACACCCCAAACAGGAAAACATGTGAGGTTGGAATGGACACGGGCGGTGGCCAGCACTGGGGTCAGGGCACAAGGGGCGTTGGGGAGGCCCCGAGGAGGGGGAGGTGGCACAGGCGGTCACTGTGGGGGCAGACAGCACCCACTGCCCTTTGAGCCCTTGTTGCCCTGTACTCAGAGATGGGCGGGAGGAAGGGAAGGCAGGGGGCAGGGAGCAGGCCCAGCAGGCATCCGGGCAAGTGGAGCTGCAGGTCTGGACCAGGAGGTGGCCGAGCAGGCGGGGGCAGCAGGATGTGGGGTCCGAGGGCCCCTGAACCTGCCTGCGAAGCTCAGCTCCTCACCAGCACCCGGCCGGCCCTGTCCTCCCAGGGCTACCCGGCGACCCAGGCTGATCGTGGCCATCGTAGGCCAGCACCCACAGCCCAGGTGGCTCCGGCTTCCTCCTGGACCCCGCCTGGCCCTACTTGCTGGGGGCTGCTTCCTCCTGCTCTGCCTCCTCCCCTGGTACCAGCAGGGAGGGGCTGCAGGGGGCAGGGGCCCCGCCTCGCCAAGCCCCAGCAGGATGAGCAGCCTGGAGCTGGTCCCCGGGCCGAGGGTTCCCACACCTGCTCAGTGGTCTGTGGGCCTGGGGAAAGGCTGAGTGGGCAGGGAGCCTTCTTGTGGGTCTGCTGCGGGTCACCTGTGCCCAGGCCTGGCTTCACTGGGACGTCCTAGGTGCCAGGGAGCACTTTCCGGACGGGTTGGAGCTGGGGCTGGACGCGTGTCATGGACATGATCCATCAGACGGGGGCGCTGCACTGCACAGACTGGCAAACCGAGGCTCAGGAGGTCACGGCTGGACGAGGGTCACTGGGCCCGTCCTGAGCTGGCCAGTGCTATGGGAGGGGCTGGGCTGCGGCTCGGGGTGGGGATGGCAGTGCAGGGGCAGCCTGGGTGTGCAGCCATGCCTCGCTGCAGGCACGAGCTGGGTGCGGCCAGCCAGAGGTCAAGGCCAAGGCCACTCCTGCCTGTGGGCTCTGGGAACACTGTCCACCTCACTGCAGGCCCTTCCCGCTCCCACCCCGGGGTCTGCATTCCTTGGACTGGGCCCAGGGTTTTCCAAGACGCACAGCGGCTGCACAGCCAGAGGGACCCAGGTGGGTGGGAGGAACCTCAGTGGGGGCCTAGGCCCCGCCCACCACTCTTGAAGCTCAGCCCCGCCCACACCCCAGCCACCCCTACCCTGACCATGGCTGGGGCAGCAGGGCTGGGATGCAGTCGCTCCCAGAGGCCACAGCGTGGTCTTGTGCATGGCCCGGGCAGGGGCCTGGCACACTCCCAGGGGGGACGGCTGCACCCCACAGGTCCGCAGGCCACGTCCAGCTCTCTCTGCCCATGGCCTGGCAGGTGCCACACACACGGCAGTGACCGTGGCGCTGAAGTCCAGCCATACCACGTTCTCGCTGTGGGCTGTGGGAAGCCTGCCTCGCCAGGGCCAGGCTGGGCAGCGCCCTGCGCCTGCTGACTTGCTCCTGCCACAAGGCTGCTCAGCCCAGCACCCGGCTGCCTGACACAGGCTCCAGGGCTCTGAGGGGACCGCCGCTGTGCCCTGCCGGCTGTGGACCAGGTGGAGCCAGGGGCATCCAAGACGGGTCCTCTCCTCCCCGGGCAGTGTGGACGCCCCCCACGCGTCTGGCTGCAGCTCCCCACACTGCTCCCTCACGAGCCCAGCGTCCACACGGCAGGCGCCCGTCCTTCTTCTGGAAACCCTCACGGCGCCCCTGATGTCCTTTCCGCCCAGGGCTGTCCCTTGGGGGAGGCTGGGTTTTCACCCGTGACATCAGTGCGAGGAACATTGTGACCAGGACGGCATCTCCCACTCCTGGGCCCCAGTGCTGTCCACCCAGCTCCACGGGACTTCACGGGGCGGCACCCACAGACCACTGTCGCATCCCCCAAAGCTGCCACTGAGGAGGCCTGGCCACAGAGCCTCATGGTGGTGGCAGCAGCCCCCGGGGGCGCTGGGTCAGGATGACCACAGGCAGGGAGGGCGTGGGGACGTCGGCATGGACGGCGGCGTGGACGGCAGAGCGGACGGCGGAGCAGAGGGCAGGGCTGGGGCGGCACTGAGATGAAGGTGGGTGTCGGGCACGACTGCACGCCAGGCTGGGCTGGTGTTTTCTAGGTGGGATTTGGGGGCATTCAGAGGTCCCCACTGCACAGATGCCCACAGCCCTCGGAGCCCTGGAGAGGGACGTGGCACCGGGCCAGGAGCTGTCCCTGCACTGGGTCCCCAGGTAGCCCCAGACTCAGGAGGGGAGGGAGAAGGAGAGAAGGGGGCGTGGTGAGTCGGCGCTCCTGGCCCAGCGTGCCTGGGGAGGGGCCACTGGACCTGGGGGTCAGCGGGGAGGTTCTGAGACCTGTCCTGGCCGAGCGCCCCCGCGGTCACTGAGGCCCCGGGAACACCGGTGCCGGCTGCCCCTTCGCTGTCTGAAGAGCCCCGCGGGCCGGCGCCGCTCGCCGTGGCCAGGGTGCCCGCCCCGCCCGCCCGCCCGCGCCGCCGGACGCTGTCCTCAGTCCACCCCTGGCCGCCGCGGTGCCAAGTGGCTGGCGGCCGCGGCCGGAGCCGGGCGGGCGGGCGGGCGGGCAGCACCGGGCCAGCGCCCTCCCCGCTACTCACGTAGAGTCCCGAGTGCTGCGCCCCGAAGAACGGGAAGGGCGCGGAGAGCGGCTGCAGCCCCGAGCCGCCGTCGTCCCGCCGAGGGGTGGCGGCGTCGCCGCGCTCCGCGCCGAACGGGTAGAAGTCGGCGAGCGCCACGGCGCCCCGCGCCCCGCGCGCCCCGAGGCCCAGGGCTGCGGCCAGCAGCAGCGCCCAGGCGGCGCCGCGCCGCATCGCCGGGTCTGCGGCGGGGCCGCGGGCGGGGGCCAGGCCGGCCGCCGTGCAGAAGGCGCCGTGTGGGACCGCGCTCGGGCCGGCCCGCCCTCGGGGCCGCGGCTTAAATACCCAGCCTGGGCGGTCACTCGGCGGGGCGGGCCGGGGCGGCGCCACGCAGAGTGGCGACTCTTAAAGCGCCAGCCCACGGGCTCCCCCTCCCTGGGCGCTCGTGGAGGCGCAGGTCCCCCCTCGAGACGGGCAGGGCTGCCAGTAGCCGGGGTGCCGCCCCCTCGCCCCGTTCCTCCTACCTGGGCGCAGGCCCAGGGGCTTCCTGAGAGCTGTCTTGGGTCTGGGGCTGGGGGAGCTGCACGGCCACACCGGGAGAATTCCTGGAGGTTTTCCCGTGGGTCCAGGGAGGGAACGACCACCACAGCACGAAGGCTCCTGGGTAAAGCAGACCCTCCTGGAGGGGCCTGGGCACAGGGCCAGAGGCCCCCAGGCTGGGGGGGGGGCACATTTGGAGTGGTGCCCATCCCAGCCCTTGTCCCCACCTCTCCCAAGGACACTTCTGTGTCTGGGGCCTGGACTCCTGGGGCCTCAGCCTCCACCTGCCATTGGCCCATGCTGTGCTGGGGGTGTGGCTGCAGGCGGGGTTCCATAGCCAGAGCAGGGAGCATGTCCCTGAGAAGGGGTGGGGCCCAGGTCCTGCACTGGCTCTGCCTCCTGTCAGTCCCACCTGCCCAGCACGGGGTCTAAGGAGACCCCACTTCTGGGGGACAACCCCCACACACCACCTGGGAGATGGGGGAGAGAGAGAGAGAGAAGGGGAGAGAGAGAGGAGGGGGAGAGAGAGGAGGGGGGAGAGAGAGGAGGGGGAGAGAGAGGAGGGGGAGAGAGAGGAGGAGGGGGAGAGAGAGGAGGGGGAGAGAGAGGAGGGGGAGAGAGAGAGGAGGGGGGAGGGAGAAGGAGGGGGAGAGAGGAGGGAGGAGAGAGAGGAGGGGTAAAGAGAGGAGGGAGAGAGGGGGAGAGAGAGAGGAGGGGGAGAGAGGGGGAAGAGAGGAAGGGGAGAGTAGGGGGGAGGGGGGGAGAGAGGAAGCACCTCCCGCTTGCTCTGCACAGGGGTGAACCCAGGCTGAAGAGGTAATGGGGGTGGGGGCCAGGTCCATCCCAGAGCCAGGTCCACCCCAGGGCCAGGACCTCCCCAGGCCCGGCGTCCACCCCCAGAGCCAGCACGCTGAGCCACGGCCTTGGCCCCGTGAGGATCCTGGGCCAGGTCTGGGAGCACGGGGGTTAACTGGAGCCGGCCTTGAGTTAAACACACACACCCCCCACAGGCAAAAAGGAGAACAAATGTTTTCTTCAGGTGCTAAAAATATGATCAGGAAATACTTCCCGCGAGCTCCGCTCAAGGGCGCCTTTGTCTCGGCCCAAAAACCCGGGTTTATCAAAACCAGAGTCGGAGCTCCACGCCAGGAACCCGAGCCTCCAGCCGAGGGACTGCGGTTTAGGGCCCGCAGCCCCCGGGGCCACCCCCAGGATGCAGAGTACACCGAGGACCCAGGCAGCACAGGGTCCCGGGGCACGTGGCCCTGCCTGGCCTGGGAGCCGCAGGGTGAGGCTGGGACAGTTCAGGGCCTGGAGGGGCATTGCCCTGTGGGCTGCATGTGTGGATCGTGTGCTGTGTGCGTGTGGGGGGAGGCGTGTGCAGTCTGTGTGTGTGTAGGCCGTGTGTACAGGCCATGTGTGCAATGCCATGTGCGGTCCGTGTGTGCACGGGCCGTGTGTGCAGTCATGTGTACGGGCCATATGTAGTCTATGTGTGCATGACTTTGTGCAGTCAGTGTGTGTGTAGGCCATGTGTGCAGGCCATGTGCAGTCCATGTGTGTGCAGGCCGTATGTGTAGTCATGTGTGCAGGCCATGTGCAGTCCGTGTGTGCAGGCCGTGTGCAGGCTGCGTGTGTTGTCATGTGTACAGGCCATGTGTGTTGTCATGTGTGCAGTCCGTGTGTGCAGTGCTGTGTGCAGGCTGTGTGTGTTGTCATGTGTGCAGGCTGTGTGGGCTGTGTGCAGTCCGTGTGTGTGCAGGCCGTATGCAGGCTGCGTGTGTTGTCATATGTGCAGGCCGTGCATGTTGTCATGCGTGCAGGCGGTGTGCAGTCCATGTGTGCAGACTGTGTGGGCTGTGTGCAGGCCGTGTGTGCAGTGCCATGTGCAGGCCGTGTGTGTGGGCTATGAGCTATCTCAGAAGGGCTGGCCCTGGGGCTGAGTGTGGGCCTCCTGGTGCTGAGGCTGGTGCTGCCCTCCACGCCTTTCCCACCGTGTGGTTGCTTTGCCCACTGGGGGTGGGAGAGGCAGAGGCCAGCCCTCAGGCCACAGATGGGCTGGGGGCCCCCAGAGGTGAAGGCAGCCCAGGGGGTCTGAGCACCAGGGCCAGACATGCGGGGGCCTCGTGGGCCTGCGGGCCCCAAGGGTCACCTCCTTGGAAGTACCACGGAGTCCTACCGTGCCGGCCTCAGGGACTGCTCTTTGGGCCCCGCGGCCATGCCGGGCCATGGCCGAGGTGTCTCTGCAAGCCCAGGTGGCAATGCCACCACCATCTGCCCACCCTGCCCGGCTTGGCCTGGGGACTGGGGTCACCTCACTTTATAGGCCCTGGGTGAGGGGCAGACAAGTCCTTGAAGCCTGGGCCGGGTGAGCAGGTGCCCGCCCAATACAGGCCCCCACCCTCAGTCTCCCCTGGTGGCGCCCCCACCCGAGGCTCCGTCCCATGGCTCACCCCACTGGGCAGGCGGGTGGGGGAGGCCAGTGTGGAGTGAGCTGTGGGGGCCGGGCCCACAGAGGGAAGGGTTTGTTTATTGCAAAGCACACGTCCCACGTAAGAGCAGTGCCTGAGAGCCCAGAGCTCCTGCAGCTCCCACCACAGCCAGGGTCGGCAGTGACGGCGTGGGTCAGGCCGTGGCAGCCTCCGTGGTGGCCCTGGGCGTGGTCCTGGAGCCCCGTGCCCTCCACACACGTTCAGTAGTTACTCTTCCGTGCAGCTGGGCACTGGGACGCGGGGCTTGGGTGCCACCCCACCCCATGGGAATCGCTGGCTTCCGGTTTCTTTCCCAGCCCTTGTTGCCCACAGGGAGGGTGGGGCAGGACGGTGTGCATGCACCTCCCAGGGCCCACCCTCCCCATCCGGCACTGCCGCCCGCACCTGGCCACCACTGCCCATGGCGCACCGTGCCCCGTCCTCGGAGCCTGGGCTGAGTTTCAGAATCCTCTTCAGCACAGCCCATGTCCCCCTAGCCACGGCGTCTGCGATGTAGTAAAAGTCGACGGCCAGGACACGGGGGAACCTGGGAGCTCCTGGCTCCGAGGACCCCCACTGGCCGGGGTCCTAGGAGGCTTCTGAGGCTCGCGGGGCGGCCACAGATCCCTCCCATGAGCCTCTTGGGCGTTCAGAGAGGCAGCGAGTGCCAGCGCCAACAGGTGAAGCCAAGGTGGCCGCCTCCGTCTCCGCAGCAACCGGCCGAGTTCCCGTGGGAACTTTCCCAGTCTTCCAGGCCGGCGGGTGGGGGCTGTGCCGCGGAGCCACGGCCCGGGCTCTGGGCCACCTCCGGCCACCTGCCGCCGGACGGCCGCAGCTCCTGGGCTCCGGACGCCGAGGCGGTGGCTGGCCCTGCAGGATGCTGGGCTTCTGGCTCCGCTCGGTGGAAATATTCTCCATGCGTTTCCCCTGTTTACAGGGGAGAGGGCAGGGAATGCAGCCTGGGGCCAGGTGGTGGAGTCTGGCCAGCTCAGTACGGCCGCCCACAGCGGAAGCCGAGCGCCAGGCGAGGCGTGGGCTGCGGAGAGAGGGTGAGGGTCCCCGTGGCAAGAGGGGCTCCTGGCAGCGGCCGCTGCCTGCGCCTTGTGCCCCCAGGGCTGTGTGGCAGGGCTGGCTGCTGGGCAGGCCCCGCTGCTCGGCCACGAGAGCCCTGAGGGCCTGGGGGTAAGCGCTTCTCTGTGGACGTGGCCCGGTGAGTCGGGGACAGTGACCTGGGCAGTCCCCCTGTCTTGCTGGGCCTCAGCATCCCCATGTGGACAGTGCTGGTGCTCCTGTGAGGGACAGCTGGGGCCGCCTGGGCTTCCTAAGGGATTTGTCCTCACTGCCCCCTGGGGAAGGTGTGGGGTCAGCCTTGCGGCCGGGGCCCAGGCTCTGTGCCCCACCCAGCGTGGCTGGGATCCGCCAGGTCCGGCTCTTGGCGTCCTTGTGTTAAGTAGGACATTAGAAATTAGCCTGTGTGAGAGAGAGGGGCCCGAGGAAAACACACCTGTGGGAGCTCCCCTTGGAGCAGCCCAGGATTCCACGCTGCAAGGTCCCGCCCAGACCCCGACACCTTCCATGTGGTCCCAGCCTCTCCCCAAGGGCGGCTCTCGGGAGAATCCCGTCAGCACCATGCACCTGCGGGTTACCCGCCCTGACAGCTGAGCCGTCAAACCTCACACCCTCCTCCAGGCAGGCGCCCTGGGTGGCTCCTCTGCCCCAGCCGTGGGCTCCCCAGCCTGACAGCGCTGAGCCGTGATCCCTGGGAGGAATTCACCTGACACACTCAGTAACCCTGTGTCCTGGGGGGGGGGGAGGTGGGGGGGACACAGCGGACAGAACTGGGCCCCCTCCCTCCTCGGTGTCTCCTGCTCCGTCTGTGGAGTGCAGTGGCCTCCCGGCAGGGTGTGGGGTTGGCCAGCCCCCGCAGGGGACACAGGGGCCTCTGGGAAGGGCAGGCGGCGTTGGGGAGGGCCGTCCCGGTGATGTCCCCGGCTGTAGGGGGGCTCCCTCGCCCAGTGCCCCCAGACCTCCGGGCTTCCTGAGCCACGGTGCCCGCGTCCACTCCCTTCTGCAGCAGGCTCAGGTCTGCTCAGCTTGTACAGGCGCGGCCCTGTGCTCTGGGCCTCCCAGCAGGCCTGTCCCTCACGGCCGGACCCCTGTGCCCAGGCTGCCAGCTGCTCCGGCTCCACCCCTTCCTGGCCACGCCCCACCGAGATGGGGCAGGGTGGACCTCAGGGGCTGCCCAGAGAGCCCCCATTTCCTGCCCGAGGGCTGCGGAGGCCGTCCC